TGTGGGGATGTCAGACATCTCAGAATAGGCTTGCAACAGACATGACAAGGAGGCTAACCGGGACTTAGGAAATTGGTAGGAACTGACATAAAGAGGGGGGCACGCGGTAGCGTGGTGGTTGAGGTGCTGCGCTACAAGCTGGAAGGTCGCGGGTTCAAATCCTGATGAGGTCATTCAATTTTTTTTTCAGTTGACCTAGTCCTTCCACCCGCACTAGGCCCTGGGGTTTACTCAGCCTCTTAACAGAAATGAGTACCAGGAATTAATTAAATAATTTTCCTGGGGAGTAAAGCCCAGCTGGTGCGTAAGGCTGACAACCTTACCGCCATCTTTGAACCGATTGTCTAGATAATGTGGAACCCTCAACGTCTCACAACCCTATGGGCCTTCACGGCCTGGTACAGGGATAGCTTTACTTACTTTTACTGACATAAAAAGAGAGCGTGGGAGGGATTGTGTTACCTGACTGCACACACATCTCATAATGTCCAGAATGTTAGGAAAACCACTTGGCGGACAAGAAAGAGTAAGGTTGCCTGCGAACATGCTAGGCTCTTCCATGTACGTGTCATACATGTTAAAATCATTGTCAGTGGTCAGTGCAGTGCAGAGCAGGAAGTTTAAAGAAGAAATGAGTGCAGGGAGTGAGCAGTGGTGTTGATGTGATGTGATAAGTGACCGCAGAACTGATTTCAATATTGTAAGTGGTTATGGACGATGGGACAGTAATTGCCCCATATATCAATAATTACAATACATGGCCATCAACACAACAGTCTATGAGTAGATAAAACTAATATTAATGTGCTAATAGATGTTTTTATTATACTACCACCACAAGTTTTGATCAAAGTGATTATCTTTGGGTAGTTTATATGAATGTATACTGTTGTCATTGAATTGTATAACATGGATCCATATTAGTAAATAAAATAATGTAAATGTTTCGTCAAATTTTAATAAAATTGAGTAGTTAACTTTAACCTTAACATATTATTATAAGATAGTTACATGATACAAATCCTAAAATGCAACAAAATACACTGAAGTGCCAAAAGTCATGGGATAGGAGTATGTAAATTTATTTTTAAGTGGCGCCACTGTCCCTTGATGGCTTGGGAATGCCCAGAGCAGTATCAGTTGTGAGGTGTTCTCTCATGAGTCAGGTTGAACACCGGCCAGTCTGCTCATGGCAAACCGACGTGAATTGTCGGATTTTGAACGAGGCATGATAATGGATGCCAGGTGGATGGGACATTCCATTTCCAAAATCATTCAACATTCCTCGATCCACGGCACGTGTGTGCTGGGAATACCTTGTAGAAGGCATTTCCACCCACCGTGGACAGCGCAGTGGCCGACCACGGGTGTGTAATGATTGTGAATAGTGCCATCTAGCTAGAATTGTCCATGGTAACAGACAAGCGACACTGGCTGAAATCACATCCACATTCAATGCAGGAGGTACCAGACGCATATCCAGCAGGTCAGTGCAGCGTTCTTTAGCTTCCATGGTATATGGGAGCAGAAGACCGACCAGAGTGCCTCTGTTAACACCACGACACTGGACACAGCACCTCACCTGGCCTTGTGACGTCTCTAATTGGACCCTGGAGGATTGGCAACATGTGGCGTGGTCCAATGATTCACGGTACTAGTTGTTTTGGGTGGATGGTAGGGTTTGGGTGTGGCACAGACCCCCATGAGGCCATGGACCCTAGTTATCAACAAGGCACTGTGCTGGTGCTGGCTGGTGGTGGTTCCATACTGGTGTGGGGTGTGTTCACGTGGCATGAGTTGGGCCCGCTCGTCCACCTAAACACATCATTGACAGGTGACTGCTACATTACACTGCTTGGTGACCATTTGCAGCCCTTCATGGACTTAATGTACCCCCACAACGATGATATTCTAGTGGGAGAGTGCACCATGTCATCGGGCAGGAGTTGTCCAGAATTGGTTTGAGGAGCATTCTGGAGAGTTCTGACAAATGGTGTGGCCACCATGTTCGCCCGACATGAACCCAATAGAGCATTTATGGGACATGGTGGAGAGGTCCGTTTGCCCCCAAAATCCTGCGCCTACAAATACCAGAGATCTGTGGGCAGCTATCCAGACGGCATGGCTTAACATCTCTCAAGAGGTCTTCTGTCCACTTGTGGAATTGATGCCACGTCGAGTTGCTGCACTTCGCCGGGCTAGAGGGGGTCCTACACAATACTAGGTACCTATCCCATGACTTTTGGCACTTCAGTGTATTTTCATTATTCTAGTTACTAATGATGATGGTATATATTCATATAAACCACCTGAAAATGATCATTTGGATCAAAATGTGTATAATAAGAATAAATATTAACACATTTATGTTGCATTTACTTATGGATTGTGGTGACTGCCACCCTTAATGGTACACAGAAGGATGCACACAATAAAGATTGTGTCTGTGAACAAATGCAAGTGAAAAAATTCGAGAATGTAGTGCTGAGAAAAATGTGTGTGTGTGCATAAAAATTATGTAATGAGCAGCTTCAGAATTTCCACTCATTACTGAGTATTGTTAGGGTGACCAAAGCAAGGGTTATGGGATGAGCAGAGTACATAGCATACATGGTGGAAATACAAAAAAATATACGGAATTTTGGTCATAAGGGAGACTAGGTGTAGATGGAAGGATGCTAGTAAAATAATTTTAAGTTCTCCTCATTGGTTGCATCCTGTTGTGTGTTCCAGATATATATATGAAATTGTGTTAACTGTCAACAAATATTCTCAGTTTTAATGTTTTATAATTCGATCTTTATTTCTGCTACATGTTTCGGTTGCATAAGACCATCATCAGGCAGTTATATATAGGAATACCTATAGTTACTGAACTACCGATAAGGATCCATATCAGTGCAACATATTGTATTATATACTAACAAAAAATTCTTGCCTCAAGTTGGTGTTACAATTAAAGTAGAAGATACAAAATAATATAAAAGATAAATATGAAAAGTATACCATGTATTAAGATTTATAATGTGTTCAGTATATTATGAAACATTAAAAGTATTTTAAAAATATATTTATTTATATATATATATNCGTCGCCCCTCACTACGTCAGTCACGCCCATTCTCCTTTGTTGGAGCACTCCTTCATTATCTTGTGTGTTGTGCTTTTGTTGTGTCGTGCTCCTGCGACTGCGTGTGTTATACTGTTGGGCTTCCTGGGTATAAGTAAGGATAGTAGTAAGGAAGTAAGTAAGTAAGGAAGTAGTATAAGTAAGGATAAGTAAGCACCTGAAGATGGCATTATTATGCCGAAACATGTAGTGCGAGAGAGAGAAGGAGATAAATGAGTGTATGCACTGCAAGACGGATTAAATAAATCATGGACTATTTTATATTTATTTTTTTTTTTAGAATGATAGGTTAAGAATGTGTATGGCTATTTAAATACAGAAGGTTCCAATACTTGCTTATTTACTCATGGAGCTGAGCCCTTCTGGAGGAGCTGCCGATTCTGCAGCTACTCAAGAATTTCCCAGCATTTTATGGAACCCGAAGGTTCATTACCGTGTTCACAAGAGCCCTCCACTGGTCCCTCCTGAGCCAGATATATCCAAGCCATACCATCCCATCCTATCTAAGATCCAGTGTAATATTGTCCACCCACCTACCCCTTGGTCGCCCCTGTGGTCTCTTTCCTTCTGGCTTTCCCACCAATATCGTATATGCATTCCTCGCCTCCCCCATTTGTGCTACATGACCAGCCCACCTCATCCTCCTTGACTTGATCATTCTAATTATACTTGGAGAAGTGTACATGTAGAAATTGGGCATATATGTCGTTTGTAGGTCTTTGTTGTAGAAGCTTTCTATGTAGCAAGCCCAGTTGTGGAGCCCAAAGACAAGTTTCTATGATGTACTGGTTAATGTGTGGAATATTAGGTATGCAGTTTTTCACAATATGTATTGTTATGTAATCATACAATATGGCGTATGCATTTCTTGTCTGGGCGTATATACGTTCGATGTGTTCTACACTGCGTTGGTTCGTTGTTAACTGATTAGTGTTCACTACCACACTAAAAAAAAATGAAATATATTTTTTAAACATTTTTAAAAATAATTTTAATATTCCATAATATATTAAACACATTATAAATCTTGATATATGATACACTTTTTACATTTATCTTTTATCTTATTTTGTATCTTCTACTTTAGTTGTAACGCCAACTTGAGGCAAGAATTTTATGTTAGTATATAATATGACACGTTGCACTGATATGGATCCGTATAGATAGTTCAATTCATATTCCTATATATAACTGATGGTCTTTACGACCGCAACATGTAGCAGGAATAAAGATTGAATTATAAAACATTAAAACTGAGTATATTTGTTGTGTTGATGGTTAACATAATTTTCTATATAATTTAAAGTTATTGAAATAATAGGTAAGGGTGCACACTGGTTTCATCTAGCTCCAGAACAGGATCCATTGGAGGTTGCTGTGATCATAGTAATGAAGCTTTACATTTTATAATAAAGAGGAGGTAACTTCATGACTAGCTGAGCAACCTTTAAATGTTCAAGAAATACTCTGTGGAACTTTTTATTGAGTAAATAATATGTATGGGGCACGTGGTAACATAGTTGGTTGAGGCACTATGCTACAAGTCCAGATGAGGTCATTGGATTTTTTTCAATTGATCTAATCCTTCCAGCCGCACTATGGCCCTGGGATCGACTCAGCCTCTAACATAAGTGAGTACCAGGAATTAATTAATTTTCCTGGGGAGTAAAGTGCGGCTGGCGCGTAAGGCTGACAACCTTACCACCATCTTTGAGCCAATTGTCTCACAACCCTGTGGGCCTTCACGATCTGTTACAGGGATAGCTTTACTTTTTACTTTACACAGTTTGTATTCAGAATTTCTTTGGTGTCAGGAGCTACTGATAGAGTTTTAGGTCTGTAATACTGACACTTTGCCTGTTCTTCACAGAGGTTATCGTGGAAGGTCATCATACTACATGCCATACTGAGCCTACCAGTGTGACCAGGGATGAGCATTTTGAAATCTTTCACTGCAGATTTCTTCAAGTGTCATAAATTCATGAAGCAACTAAGTTGACGGAAACCTGTAGTCACTGTATGTATTTCTTTGTGTTTATACCCTCATCCCTTACACCTCAAAGAACAAATTTTAGCATTGGGAGAATGCATGTGTGAGTGGAAGTTAGAAATGCAAGCATTCACAAGGTTGTTTTTGCAAATAATAGATTACTCTTAGAGCTCCTAATGTTTGTGTGTGTGTGTGAATGAAATGTAGTATGTATGCACTGTTAATACATGTTGGTACAATAGTGGGATTCCGAAACTGGCAACGTTCACAATTTATGACACATTAGCAAGTGTTCATGTGAAGAAAATATTTAACAAAACTGCAGTGATGTATGATTAAATGACAGGATCAGCAAACTGATAATACAGAATGCATAAGACAAGTTTTTCTTTTTTATTGTATAGGGCATGCTATAATTCCTTAATTTTTGCTTCAGTGTCATTGATCAGTAAAATTATTCTGCAATGCCCACAAAATAAAATCGCTGCTTCTTTCCACAAGAACACATTGTGACAAACAAGACAGTGCTAAATGCAGGGACTGTAACACAGGAAATGGAATCATATTTCATAATGTTAATCACAGCAATGTGATCAGCGTAGAAGTTTGTGGAGATTTATCGAAAAATCGTAATGAGATATATTTATGGATTGGATATGCAGAATAAACTGTGTGATGTTAACCACTATCTCTGTGATTTATGTTCACACCTAATACACATTGTGTGAATGATGTATTAATGTGGCAATATTTTGGGTATTTTCTGACATTTGAGTGTAATTAATTTGACTGACTGTGGCTGAATTTCAACTTAGTTCTTTTTCCCCCACTGGGTATGTTTTTTGTTTCAATACAAAGTATTTACTGATTTGCTGGGATTGGTTAGATACTGAATGTAGCAGGTACTGCATTGTTTTGGAGCACTTCTTTGTGTAATTCCGTCAGTAAGCTCTTTTAGCTTTCACTTGTTTGTCATTATTTATATGAAGAAAATATGGTATTTTTAAATATCAATGTAAATTCTTGTTCAATATACTGGTCTAGAGAAATGCAGAACGTGTCTGAAGTACATAGAAGCAATCAAAGTTTACTGCAGGTCATGTGGTTTGAGACAGGTGGTTGTAGAGATGTGGTTAGTAAAAAAAAAAGATTTATTTCATAAGTAAAGAATATAAGATTAAATTTCAATTTCAGATACTAATGACAATGTACAGCTGAGATAATTATTGTGGGAACCTATGTTTTTAAGTTACGGTAAATATACCGGTACATTTTTATTTTCTAGTGCTGTAATTACACCATATTGCTTGTTATTTACCACCTGTGTTTTCAGTCTACAGTGTCATTAACATTTTGGTGTTTGGATAACAGTTTTGTACATTTTACAAATTGTAGGTGTCCACAATGATCTTATGCATTTGTATGTTTTCATAAGTGTTTGCGGATGTAGTTTTTCTTGTATAAGAAAGTATTATCTGATATACAACTACAATCAGATGAGATTATTTTTTTTTGTGTATGTTGGTATAAAATTACTTATAAATGATGAACTCAAATGTTCTGCTTAGTGACTGTGAATTTATTGTCATTCAAGAATATGATTAGGCAGCATTTTATAATATTACAAATTATTTCCTCTGATAATAGTTGTAGGTCTAAGGTTCTGGACATTTTATATGTTATGTATTGTTAATTTGTTAATTACTCCTGGAGTGCCAGTTGAATACCATGCATCAAAATGGCATGGTTACTTGACCCCTGTTTTCCTTTCCCAGCTGCAAATAATTTTTGTGTTTAATTTCATTGGCCTTATGTTCTCCCTTTCCTGTGTTGTGTGTGTACTGTTTTTCAGGAACCGCCAAGGGATACCAAGTACTTCAATGCTACTTGATTATTTTCAGGATTTTGTGGGTTCTTAAAAGATGAAGTAAAAATGGCATTAAAAGGCAAAGAAAGAAATTATGCAGAAAAGAAACAAAAAAATGTAAAAGGAGTCTGTAATTTGATTCTGGTGTAAAAGAATATCTCAATAAAGATATACCGTAGGAATTAAAACAGTGATGTAATTTATAGACAGGTGGATTTAACCCCAACCATCCAATCCAGAAGTTGTCAACAGACCATGCTGTTCTGTAGTGTAATGCAAGGAAGATATAAAACCAGCGTTTACAGTCTTTATGGTATGGTATGGTGTTATGTGTGTACAATAGTGTAAATTGGGCCGTCGACACAGTGTGTACAGAATGAAGACAAAATAGATAGTAATGTATCAGCATCTTGTTTAGTATGTGCTACATGTTTCGACCTTTCCTTGGTTGTCATCAGAGAAGTCACAAGAACATGAAACTGAGTTTTTGAATTGAGTTACTTTAATGTGGATCCATATTTTAATTTTTTTTTATAGTGAATGCATCTTTGGAAAATGTAATCTAATTTAATATTAATTATTATATTTATGTATGTCCTTGAAATAAAATTTAATTTAACAAATTAAGAAAAATTAACTATTCCATGTGTAGAATTAACCTAGAACCTACATATATGAGTAGTTATTTAAAACTTTTAAAAATTAAAAACAATTATTTCAATGACACATCAATATAATTATTAATATCTGGGGTAAAGGGCGGCTGGCCCATAGGGCTGACAACCTTGCCACCATCTATGAGCCGATGTCTAGAAAACGTAGGAACCTCAACATCTTTCAACCCTATGGGCCTCCACTGCCTGTTATAGGGATACCTTTACTTTGTTTTTTTACAAAGTTATAATGTATATTAGTCTTAAATAATCTTAAATTTATGTAGAAACCATATATTACCAGAGTTTTCATGTGCATTGTTAGATTACTTACTTTGATATTCTTATGACCCACCCGATGACCTAGGAAAGGTCGAAACTTGTAGTGCAATACCTGTACATAATAAACAGATGCTGATATATTAATATTTTGTCTTAATTCTGTAGATATTTTATAGACAGCGCCACTTGTGCTATAACATGATGCCAGAAATGGAAGACATGGAAACTGGAAGATCCTTTCAGCTTGGTGTTTGTGGAGGTGGCTTTATTTTAAATTGTCCATAGTGACTGAATTCTGAGGTAATGTGAAGCTTATCATGAAGCTCTTTGCAGCGAGAGATGTGAACACTGTGATAAGATGGTCGCACAGGAAGTCTTTCCTAAAAGGCATTGGTACTGTTGCACAAGGGGGCTGGATCATACCCAGACCTCAAGGGGATCCCTTGTAAACTTTACATTAATTTTTCAGTTATTTTTTATTTGTGTCATAAATTTTTGAAGACCTGTATTCATATGTCTTTGTTATTTCTTGCTGAAAAGAAATCTTGTACCTAACATTTTGTTGAACACCTCTGCATTGCCAAGTAGTTGCAACATTTGTAAATTTATTAGAAAATGTTTTTGCAATTTAAATTACTGATAAATGTTTGAGCACTTCTGTTTAGTGTTGAGTTTGGTGGAATGAGGGTGTGGTGTATAATTAAGGGAAGGGCAAAGCCTGTGCCTGGACTCCCAGAAATGTTCCTCATGAAAAAGATAGATCCAGTTACATTTCAAGTGTGAAATCCATTTCTCACCTTTATTAATTGTTCAGAACTTTCCCCCTCAACAGACTTCACTCTTGAATAAAGTTCACCACTTTAAAAATTTCATCAAATCCATATAAACTGAAGAAGTTTCCTTTGTTCACAGCATTGTTCTAGAGACCTCCAATTTTTTAAACTGTATCTGCTGATAACACATACAGTATATCTCATATCTCATATCATGGACACTGGTAAGTTATATTCTGATTTGTACATTACAAAGTTATGTACACAAGTTCAAAATGTGTTTTTTTAACTGAATGCGGGAGGAAACATTTTTATCGGTTCTGCATCAGTTGCTGCTGACTACAATATGCCACAAACATTTATGGACTTCCTACTTAACTTGTCTGTGTACCGTTTAATAGCCACATCTGAAAATTAATAAATGCATAATTTTCACCAAAAACAAATTGAGGGCAGTATGTTTGGTTGGAGGTGTAAGAATATTTAGATTGTTAAAGTTATAGTAATTATAATTGCCGCTTATCAGTTTACTTTTCAACGTCATCAGCTACAAGGCCTTTTGCAACTTCTTATTTTCTATTCTGGAACTTCTGCACTGATACGTGAGAGAACGTCTGTATTCCAATATTTTTTATTTTTGAACTTTTGCACTGATATGTGTGAGAACGTCTGTATTCCAATTTATATGCATAAATATCCACATAAACTAATATAGGTTGAAACCCCATGGATGTCTGTTTAAATCTTTTATCCTGTGTTGGTAGCAGCCTTGGGATGGTCTGATCCTCAGTCGAAGACCTACCAAATGTCTGGTCCGGGTCTGGTCAAATGGGATTTGTAGTGGACAAAGTGGTGCTGGGGCAGGTTTTCTCCGAATACTTCGGTTTCCCCTGCCAATCTTTATTCCACAAATTGCTCCGCAATCGCTCTCACCTATCATCTGGAGCTAGTACAATAGGCCAGAAGTGGCCTCCGTACAAAGGACTTAGACCCACCCCACCAGCAATTAAAAAAAACTGTCTATAACATTCGTAATTACAGATTTAATTCCAAGTGGGAACAGGCAAGACAACTTAATCCGACAATATATAAGATGTAAATCAAGGCCCTCTTCTCACGCCTACAGCTGATCCAGCTGATGTAGTCAGCTGTACCAACGCGCGCTCTTGCTCTCTGACAGGCTATAGCAAGGAAAATTAAGTTGGCACAGCATTCACTTTTCCGTTAGTAGAATTCTCTTGCAGAGTGAATTAATTCCAACCACCTACGCGTTTGCGCTGTTCGTTGCCATTACGGATAGTTGATGTTTTGAGGTAAATTTTAGTTCTATGGAACTAGTTTGCAGTGATTTTTAAACCGAAAATGGAAATGTGGCAATTCAGTAATCCGTGCCGTGAGATGTGGAGTCCGTGAATCAGTGGTATAGAGATATAGAGCGTATAGAGCGAAAGAGGGTAGAGAGCGGTAGAGAGCATAGAGCTGTAGAGCCAGTCAAAGACGTTTTTTGTAACGTACATTACATGTGTTTTGGATTTAAATGGGAGTGAAAGTCAATGGAAATAAGGGTTTTGTTTTGTTATTGGTTATCCTGAAGAAAATACGGTGCAGGAAGAGTTTGTAATGAAATAAGACATGAGATAAATTTAAAATAATGGATTGATGTGTGTGTGTACCAAAGCTGTACAGAGTTATGTTCTTGGGATCAAGTTGTGATTTTCCTTGCAGAAAGGGAAGTATGGATAGTTTTCACGATACACCCATGCATGATATCACAAAGACTGCAGAGCGGTGCTTCATGGGTTTTGAAGCATATCAGGAAGCCAAGTTGAGTATGGGACAGCATTTCTGCACCACACCAGAGTCATTGTTTTCACAAAAGGAACTGGAAGATCATAGCAGTGATGCTGATGATGAAATTACAGACGTGTCTGGGGAGTGCCTCAGTTCATCAAATGAATTTTGTGATATTCCGAAAGATTATTATATTTCGAGTGGTACAAAGCCATTATCGTTAGTGATTAGAAGATTTAGCACTCCTACAATAAATAATAATTCTCCTTCGGTTCTGAAGAGAGATTCTAATGTGTCATCACCATTTACCAGAGAATTTGAAAGTACCTCAGACAGTGAAGTTTTGAATTCAGATAAGAAATTGAGTGACTTACCCTTTCAGGAGCAAGTCACAGTTACCTCTAATGCCATCAGTCCAACTTCACGAGAATCTCATATTATGTTAGGGCCAACAGCATCAGATGGAACTGTTCGGGCCCTTCAGGAAATAATTTTGAGTCCATTGCAGCAAAGCAGTCACTCAGGTATAGTCCGGGAAAACATAGAGAATGTTGTAAATGATGCACATGTAAAAATCAAAACCACGCACACTATTGAAAATGACTGTTTGAAATATGTGGATGGCAGTACATTACAACAATCAAATCCTGTACTGGAGAAGTACTGTGTTAAGGATGTAGATGGAAAGTTATCAGTGTCTTCAGTTTGTAGTAGGGAGGTATATCAGAAGGTGAAAAATGACAGCATTGGTAACGGAAATCAAGATTCACCATGTCCACTGGGAAGTTCCAAAAACCTTCAGTCTCTGATACACACTCATCCATCAGAACATTGTAAACAAATAGCAGAACCATCCAATCATAGTTCATTTGAGGTAGTTCTAGGAGAAAATGCTGCAGGAAATACTATTAAGATTGCAGAAGATGAGGGGTGTCAAGAAATGAATGCAGTTGACATTACCAGGTGTGAATCTGAAATCCAAAATGATGTAATATTGAACATCAGAAAAGAACATTCTGAACCTGCAGAAAAAATGTGTAACCTAAACTTAAAAACACAGTTTGAACCATATTGTGTAGGAGGAAAATCTCTTGTCAAAAGCAATGTGATTGAATCTTTGATAAATGAAGTGTATGAGGCAGAGGGGATAGCCATAGTTAATGACAGGTTCAAATTTCAAAGTAGTGAATCAGTGTTACTGCAGGTTCAAGGAGGAAATATAACTGAAAGAGACAATGAAATGAGCACAATTGTTAGTCATGATATTGAAGTTACTGTGGGCCAAAATGCATGTGATAAGGATTACCCTGTGTGCACAGGAAAGTGTGAACTTGTAAAGACTGAAGTAAGCTTCAGTGGGAGTGAAACTGCTATGACTACAGCTACTGATACAGTAAAATCTGAAAGACACATTGAAATTTCCTATGAGCCTATTCCATTACAGAGCATTCATAATACTTCACAACAAATTGAAATAAAGTTGCCAGAAGATGTGTCTTTAATAAATGTAACAAGAAATGCGACAGTGATTATGTCTCCAACATCAGTAGGATGTGCACTTTCTTCCATTCAAGCTGAAAATTCTGAAAACAGTCATCAGATGATCTGCCCTCAGAACAGACAGACTGTGTCATTAGGTGTCAGTCCTGTGCAGAAATGTGTACAAAATTCATTCGATGATATGGAGGAACTTAGAAGAAAGTCAAGTGTGGGTAGTAGTCCCAAAAGTCCAATTCCATTAATAGGGATGAATGGTGTTATAATTACTGGTGAATGTGAAAAGGTTCAACCAGTGAATATGAAAGCTGAAGATATTAAAAGTATGGAGTGTAGCTCAGTTTTAGCAGGAGAATTGGCTGAAAATGTAGTGGCAAGCACAGATTTCCATAGAGACAGTTTTTGTAAAGTGAGTAAGACGGATCCTTTACAGTCCACAGTACATAATAGTTCTTCGCGTGTTCAATCATACACTAAAGATAAATTCGATTGTTATAATGATCTGTCATCTGACACCGTTTTTGTTGAGCATTCACCACTCCTTTTCAGTTCAGATGATGAGAATTCATATTATACAGGTAAGATCAAAGGAAGTACTAATATTTGATTGGATGTTAATTATATGGGAAAGGAAAGAATGTGTTCGTGCAAGGGCAGGCTCTACTTTTGAAGTTCAACATAATTTTCTTTATGAGAAAAGTTCATTAGTGTATATTACACAAACATACAGATGAGAATACAGTCGTGCATTTTGCAGTTATTTGATATATCAGGACATACTTGTTACTGTCTTTAAGGACACAATTTCATTAAGTTGTGTTTGAATTCTCTTTCCAATGTAAGTGCTTCAAAACGAATTGGAACTTTCATTTTTAAAGTAACTTATGGGGAAAGAAACAGCTGCATTGATATTTCTAAGAGTTTAAATATAATTCAAAATGTTTTGGTCATGTGTAAGTTGGTTGTATATTGCATGAATTGTAGGGCCTGTGAAGCCTTTTAGATATTTGCAAATTGCATGGTTACACATTTTACATTGTTTTCCTATAATTTTAATTTAATTGCAGAAAAGCTCAATAACGAACAGGAAACAAGTGCAACAACATCCAGTTATGAAAAAATTATGACAACAGAACAGAAGAAATTGCACCGTCTTCAAGAAGCTTTATTGGGTGTTCCTCCTCCACCATCAGTTACAATTCCACAGCTTGATGTAACAGATATTCTTAGGTTATTGAAAGAAAACAAAAGTTTGATGATCTTAGCAGATACAGAAAGTGAAGCTGGTAAGAAGTTAATTATTGAATTTATTTGTATGAAGCCGTGAAATCTCTTGAAAATTATGTGTTTCTATTCAGCATAATATAGTGAGAGATGGTGGTATAGTAGGGATGGACATATCTGTTAAAAATTTATGAGTCTACCTGAAGGATTCATTTCCAAGATACATCTTACTTTTTGGAAGATCGAAGTGGGAAGAAAAAGCTTTCTCATGTTTTATATCTGTATTAAAGATAAGCAGCGGCACACACACAGGGAGCTTGCACAGAATTGAACAATGCTGAAAGCAAGAAGTAGCAGCTGCAGCACTGTAGACCTTGAGCAGGTATCCCCATGAATTTTAAATTTTAAAAAATTTTTAAATTTAAATCGAAGATTTTGAAAATACCAAAACTAAAAAATGAAATTGATGTATGTAAATTAACAAAAATTTTATACATATCTGACAGATATCAGCAAAGGGATTCTGATATATCGGGACCTATTAACGATGGAGAAATGAACAGTTAAGAAAGCTGGTGTTTTTAAATTTTTAAAATACGTGCAGTGTAACAGCTACGTGAGAAAAATATACCTGATGATGGCCATTTACGGCCAAAACGTAGTGTAGAAGAAAAGAAGACAAAAGAACTAAAATAAATTGTTGCACTTAGGATGGAGTGTGTCATACGTTGTGTAGCGTGTAACAGGATGCTTAAATATAATATTTTATATCTGTGTATACAGTGTTATTCTTTGGAAGATTGTTGCACATTTTTGTCCATTTTGAGGCTTGTTGGTATGTGGGTGTTTGTTGTAATCACTTTTCGTTTGCCTTTTCTACTTGTACGTGATTTTGCCATCATTTCATTACCAGGTTCAGAAGGTGTGAAGTCTCAGGCAGCTTCATTGAAACCATCTTCTGTAGAACAAATAATTAATTGTTCTTGGCCAGATTCAAAATCTTGTTGCCATTATGGCATTCAGTAAGTACCTGCATTCATCTTTCTGTAACATGAGATTAAAATATTTATTCTGTGCCAGAAATGTCTATGGGGAGACAGCATGTCTTTAGTAGGCAACTTTAGAGAAGAAGGGCCAATGTGTTCATTGAGACCCCAGTGTGGTGATTCCGATTCCCTTGATACGTTGAATACAGAATCTATTAATTCTCCAATGATGACATGCCTCATAGATATTTAAGGCACAGTTTACCTACTTTTAGGGGCATGCAGCATAGTTAGTTGAGACACTATGCTGCAAGCTAGAAGGTCACGGATTTAAGTCCCAATGAAGTGGATTTTTTCGATTGACCTAATCCTTCCAGCCACAGTATGATCCTGGGGTCGACTCAGCCTTTAACAGAAATGAGTACCAGGGATCTTCCTGGGGNAAGGCTAACAACCTCACCACCATCTGTGAGCTGACTGTATAGACAAAATATGGGAGCCTTGATGTCTCACAACTCTGTGGGACTTTGTGGCCTGTTACAGGGATAGCTTTACTTTTTGAGCTTTACCTGTTATTAAATCTTTTCTATTTGGATGTGTTTGTGGTGTCTGCAGAACAAGGTTAGTAGTAAGTAAAAAAAAAAGAGAAAAAAGAAATTACCAAATGTGAGAAAGTATGTCTTCTCAATGCTAATGGACCTTTCTTGAAATCATGAACATATTAAATGTGTATATGCGCATGTCATGAAAAGTAACTTACAAATCTATGTAATTAAATTTGATATTACTGATAGTCCAACTTATAGCAACTTTTATGACTGCTGTTAATCTTTATAATAACTGATTAGCAAATGTCATACCAATTTATGTGAAGGTTATGTATCTGTAGCATAACTATTGAGCTGTCATGTCACAGATCATTTGAAAGATACACAGAGAGACTTACTGATAACACACATTTCAGTGGAATGAGAATTAATAGGGATAATAGGGTCCTTATTTTTCTTAAGTGTTTTTTGCAAGTGACATTTGTAAACATTATACTTTAAACCTTATTTTCAGATATAACTGTGGTCGAATTTCAGAAGAATTTGAAATACTATGGCAGAAATTACAAGAACGTTATGTTGGTAGTGAGACCACTTCATCCTGCAATATATGGTTTAAATGTGACATTTCAAATAAAGTGAGTAACATTACCAGTCGGCATAGAAGCACTGGTCACTCACCAGGTAGACGGTTGAGTCATCTGGCTCGCAGAAGGCAGACCTTCTGTTGTGCTAATTTGCTGAACAACAGTGTTGCAGAAAGTCGTCATTCTGCTGCTGCTGAAAGGCGTCTCATCATGGTAGAGATAAAGTGAGTGCCCTTAGGGACTTGATTTTATAATGAATGGCACTGTGGAACAGTATGTACATAATTGTTTGTCACTTAATGTGCATTGCCAGCGTGGTAGTTGACCACCCATTCTGAGGCACGATTCATTGTCAAAATCAAATTGAGAACTCTTGGCAGTTGATATGTCGTAAACATATTGACAGTTAGTGGGCTATATTTGTCCTGAGTCCATACTCCTCAAATTAAACTGTATGTGCCTCTCTGCAACGTTTGATCTAGTTTCTGTAAAAGTGAATAGCGTGCCTGTGAAGAGTTCAGTTTTCTGGGCTATATATCATTGTGTAGTCTGGTGAAAGTCAACCAGCATTTTGGAGGAATATATTGCCTTCATCTTCAGGGTCAAAGAGCTTTGCTTGCTTGCTGCTTTGTACTTGGTTTTTGCCTGGTTTACTCTTTGACCCTGAAGATGAAGACATTCGTCATAGCCACTGCTGTGAGAACCTCAAGGTCATTACAGCTTTCTATTTCTGCTTTCCTTTATAGTTATAGAATATGAAAAAGTATTAGTACATATTTCAACAAATGAAATCCTCTGTTACCAATTGTACATAGGACATAAAAAATGGGGAGAGATATTGCTGAATTACAGTTGTGGAAACCCTAGCGAACTAGCCAGACAAATTCGCGTTGTTGGGTAAAGTTGTCCGTGTGCTTAACTAATTAAGCACTATGCCATGTATGGGGGCGTGGATGTATAGATCCACATTTTCTTGACTTCAACACTAGCTGGAGGTGAGTGGTCAGCTTCATGCTCCTGCNCTGGGACTTGGAACTCCTACCCCTTGGTCATCCTTAGCCGCTATACTGACTGTGCTATCCCGGCTCCATAGTGTTGGGTTCCCATACTAATTGAAATTTAATGTTAAGATGGATTGTACAGTTTCTTATCAAGGAATACAATTGAAGCTTAAGAAATCATGGATGTGACCTCTCTTTGTGTTGACAGGCACCCTTAGTTATACCCTTTATTGTAGTAGTCCCTCAAAATATAAAAATGACTTGAAAAGTACAGAAGTATTGGTGTATTTTTGTAAGACCTCATATGAGAGTAGTCTGTTATTCATAATACTGTACAGTTTTTACACAGGCAGTAAATGAGCATTTTGTTAGAAACAGTTATGCAGTTTTAAATTTAGTTTTCCTGCAATACAAGTATAAATGCTTATGTTAGTGAAATTAAATGTAGTGGTGCAATACAAAGATAAATTGCTTCATGACTGAATATAAATGCTAATACCTTGACTGACTTCAGAAACTTGTTAATTTGATTGCTTCATGTACAGGAAAGCTGAACACAGGCAGAGGTTAAAAAATTATCAGCCTCATAGAAAGGCGCCGTCAGTTGATTCTAACCAGCTGCAGAAAACTAAACGGGCCTTATTTAAGAGTCCACCTGGTAATCATAAAGGAGTATCTTCTGCTTCAAAATCTAGGTCAGGATTAAAGAAAAATAAAAGTGATAATGATCAAAGTAGAGCTCTCTGGCCATCCAAAGATAATGCTACAGTGAAAACAGGGAGTGACAGAGCACTAACCAGTCTTAGTGGACAAATCAATGTATATGGAAAGAGGAGGAGAGAAGAGGGCGGTAGATCTGCACAGCAAAAGTGTCCTCGAAGAATGCTGTTTGGTGGTGCTGCAGCAGCAGTGAAGGGAGAAAGTGACTTCATGACTGCAGATGACAGAAGTCAAAATGTTAGAACTAGTGAAAACAAACCACAGATGTCAGTTGCTAGGGATCTAACTGGTGGCTTAAGTGAAGTTCATAGAAAGGTAAGTTTTCAGACTTGTTTTTGCACTTGCTGAGGTCAGTGGGAGCCTTGTGCTCGAACCAGATCCAAGAAGAGTCAGGATTTTTAATCATGAAGGGCAACATAATCATATGACATTATATAGTTATATAATGATCACATGTTATTAAATTATTTTTAAAGTTGAGATAACCTGGAGTTCGAGGGAGTAAGAATGAATTGTATGTTTCAGTCAAATGTCAACTTTATAAACATAAATTAATGGTTAATGTTTTTTCATCAGAGCCTTTCTTTTTGTAAGTTTACATCATCATGTTGACAAATTTTAATCGATTTTAAAGATTACTTGTCTGTACATTTATGTTGTATAAAGTACAGAAATTTTTAATGCTTTACCATACCATAAAACAATGCAGAGTTTTTAAAATTGCCAAGGATTATGCAGTGGTGAATATTGCTGATACTATCAGAGATGATGTATGTTAACATATTCTGTAATGAAATAAGTTCTTGAAGTATAATATGCAAGTATAGTTAATTTTTACATCTTCATAAATTTAGATTCATTGAGTAAAGATTAATAAGTAATCTTCTCTTCCTGTTTACATATATTGTAACCATGATGTCTTCAATTTTTCCACATTTGCTGAACTTATAATTATCCTGTATCCAAGCATCCTAAATTCTTATGCAGCCAGCAGAGATTTCAATGAAAATTTGCCATTTTATAAAGTTACTTAAAAGAAAAAAGTTGCAGTGCATGTGACGTTACAGTTATAGCGATGCATGATTATGGTAGAGGTTAGTTGAATTTGTGGTCATGTTACAGTACATCTGTAATCTTTCACCCATCAGTCTGCTTTATCTTCAAAGAAAAGCGCCATGCAAGATGTAGGGTGCAAACATGTTTTTTTGACTTTGAAAGAGAACTTATAATATTAAAAGGCTGTAAAATGATGAATATTTGGTTCTGTAAGCGTTTTCCCTATGTATTTGTCAGATTCATTTAACTGGAACCCCACGTGCCAGTTAATGTGGAGTTTATTGTATGTGTTGTGCATAACCCAATTTGTGTTTGTTATTTCTGTCATTGATACATTCATTGTATTGTCTGGAAATTCTGACCACTGTGGACTATGTATTTTTTAATGCAGTCTGGACATTGTGGACCACCCCTGTGATCTAGTGGTCAGAGTTCCTGGTTACAGATCCAGAGGTCCGTGTTCGATTCCCAGCGCTACCAGATTTTTTGAGAAGTAGTGGGTCTGGAACAGGGCCCACTCAGCCTTGTGAGGATAATTGAGGAGATCTTTCAAGGAAATAGCGTCTCCGGTCTAGAAAACAGAGTTTCACGGCTGTGGGGATCTGTTGCACTGACCATGTGACACTCTCTATCTGCAAAAGTTGGCACCAACTTTGCTGACAAGTGGCAGTTGCTCAGTCGGTATAGTTCACTTGCGTACTACAGGCCATGAAGTCTGTTTTTGTTCGTTGTCATGACATTGTAGTCGATAAATTCTGTTATTATTACATGCATCTTCTTTTTGTTTTTATTTCTTAAGTTATTTTCTCTTGCAGTGTTGATTCTGTGTGGTATTTCTATGTTAATATTATTGGAAAGTTTTATAATCTTCATTTCATATTCAACATAGGTACATAAGGCCCATCCTAATTTTTTATCTTAACTCTTAGTGTATTGGAGTTGTTGTCTTGCGAAAATCAGGTGGATATTCATTATCATGCGGGATATCTTTTGTGTTCATAATTCTTTGCTAATATTTTCTTTAGATAGCAAGTAATTGTGGAGTATAATAACTGAAATTGTAATTGTAATTTAGTATTCTGTCATTGGCTGTTATCTAAATATATCACATACTAATTGATTGTTCCTCTTAGTGATATTAAATCTAGGAAGTAAAGGGAATTGTTCTCTCACTCAGAAGTAAAACTTAATAGGAGGTAGATACATAGGTAAGTCAATAAGTAAGTTACAAATGGATATAGAACTTAAACAGATAAGAGTACTGATTTGAAAAATGCTTTTATTTCTCAACATAATCTCCCTATACATTGAGGCACTTGTCCCATCATTTCCGGTTAGAGAGAGATAGAGAATACCAGGCCATCAAGAAGGACACCAATCTGCTGAGAACATTACATTAGCTATCAATATCATTCTTCTAAGGCCACGCCATAGCTTAAGCGATTAGTCGCTGGCTTCCCACCACTGTGATCTGAGCAAGTGGGATTTGTGATGGACAAAATGGCGCTGGGGCAGGTTTCCTCTGAGTACTTCGGTTTCCCCTGCCAATGTTCATTCCATCAAATTCTCCACAAATAAGAATGTAAAAAATTGTAACTATTGTAATTTTAATCTACTTATATATCAAATTGTTAATATTCAGAATTAACTTGACTTGTCATATATCATGTACATGATCTACAGTGACGAAATAAATCAATCAATCAAGCAATCAATCACAGAGTACTATTGACTGTAATGGCTCCTGGGTGAGGGAGAATGGCAGGCATTGCTATTAGTGGCAACTTAGAGAACTTTGATATGCATTGCAACTTTGTTTTTTAAATAACTTCATCAAAGTGGTAAACTTTCTTTGAAATGTTTGCCAGTTGCATGAATATTACAGATGCTTGGATACCGGATGACTAGGAGTTTGCTGTATGCTTTTCTATTTTGGGTTCTTTCTCACATTCTAGCAGTAGTGATTTGACCTTGTGAACAGTTTTATTATTACAGCAAGATTATTTTCAGACTGAGAAATAACACAGACTCTGCTGTATGCCAACATATATGCATTGCTTGCCACATTTCCTGCCCATTCAGCTGCAATCGCAGTGAAAGGACAGTAACTTTCCAGATTGAAGTGTATGTGTTTGTGTTACAAGTAATGTTTAAAATGTTCCCCATCACCTTGGATACATATCTTGCACCTAAAGAAGTTCTTGCTCACATGCTTTAGTTCTTTGAGTATACATTGTCTTGCCAGAAATAAATGTCAACTTGGGATGAAGTTTGCCATTGTGAACTGACTGAAAATACAAATTATAGAAATTATATCTGGCTACTTAATCATATGGCTGCAGAGGATACACATCTGTGGTTTTCTAAGGTCGTAGTTTCAGAAGCTTTGTAGTGGTTCTTGCTCGCCCTTTCAGCACTCTCATTTCTTGGGCAAGGTGTTTCAAGAGACAAGGTAAATATCCAAGCTTCATTCTGATTCCATCCAACTTTTCTTCCACCAGTACTTCATGTTGACATTTAGGTTTCCTGTCAACACACCAGCTCCTCATACCTTACTGACATGATGCTGAGTAGTGTTTTCTGTGGGGAACTATAAGTCTGGGAAACTTTATTCTGGATTGTCTCTGACTCTTCATAACAGAATTACACTTAACCTACTATTTGTATAAAATTCTAGCATAAATTTGGTCCTAAGAGATATCAGTTTATTATCACAGCTGTTGACATATCAAGATAGGCAGAATATGATGCATTCCCTTACAGTGAGAAGCTGTGCTTTGACTGAGCCCACAAATAATTTCTCTATAGTGTAGTTGATACTGTGCATGAATTTGTGAAATGAGTATTAGTATTAGTATTTATTCAGTATTCCAGACATCCACAAGATGGATACAGAACTTGGCCTCACTTAGTATGTACATACAGACCAATTACAAAAGTTGTTTACATGGAACATTAGAACAGTATAAAATATAAATAGTTAATACCTTAGATCACATAAATAAAAAGTCAGAAACATGTCATTTAAGAACAGTCATATTAAATAAGAAATCCACAATAAACAAATACACTCAACTCTCGATTATCAGGGGTCGGATAAACCGGTTTGCAGCTAAACCGGGGCTTTTTTGAGGCTTATGTGTTGTTTAATATTCATTCACTTTTGTTTCACATGGTGAGTTGTAACACTATTTTGGCGCTAGTGTGAACCGAGCTCTGCATTTTTTGGTCCCTTCATGCTAACACAATGTTCTAGGGTAGGGGTGAAAGAATGAAAGGATTTGTGGAAAGTTTCAAGTACAGATACACCGCCCCAGTTAGTCTCTTTGTATCGATTTTCAAGTGCGTTAGCAAAATGTCAAGGTGTAAAAGGAAGCGTGTTGTGTTAAGTATTCAACAGAAACTTGAAATTATCAATCAGTTGGGAAAAAGAGGTGTAGTTAAACAATTAGCAGTGCAGTACGGTAGTAAGAAAATATCACATGGTGCTGCTCTTAATCATTTGGAATCCTTACTAGACTATCTTGAGAGTGAAGAGAACAGTTTATTAAGTGACAAGCTAATATTAGGTAGGCTTTGTACGGATATTGGTAAAAAGGAAAATGCCGTGAAAAAGCAAATGACAATATTAAATTTTTTTAAGTGTTAAGTGTGAATATTCGTAAAAAGTGTTGGCTGTTGTTGAACACTGTGAATGAAATAGCTAATTCATATTTCAGTGTAATGTAAAAAAAGTATAAATAGGCCATGAGATGACATAAAAATGAGGTTGAATAAATTTAAATTCAGGTAGGCCTATAGTATTATGAAGGTACAGTATTACAGTACTACTTTTAATAAAATTTGTCTTAACTGGGTTTTCAATTAATCGTGATTTCCATCCCCACCATTATCCCAGATAGTCGAGAGTTGAGTGTAATTATGATTTGCAAATACTAAAAATTCTTCAGCTTACAGAAAATAAGATTAGTTGGCAATGCACAGGTAGAACTCATAATTATAACACAACAGGCATTATAAAATGAGTTTACAATGAACAAAAAATCATAAATTACAAATAATATACACAAGTGAGCCATAAAATTTACCTTCAGATGTGTTTATTATAACTACTCTCATTATTGATCAAAATACTCTTCTAATGAGTAGAATGAATTCGTGTATAAAAATTTTTTTAAGGTGGTTTTGAATTTAACTATGTTACCATTAACATTTTAATATGAGTATATTAATATGAGCATTGTTTGTAGTGAAGAAGATTATTAGTGTGATAGAATAATTTAAGAAATGTATATGATGAGAATATGTTTAGCTAATGAAGTAATAATTTATTCTGATCCACAGAAATTGCTTTGGGCTGTAGCTGAAGCCCTGCGAGGAGAAGGCATCAGCATGAATCATCCTTTATTCCGTCCCTATGCTACATCATTGGTACGATTGGTGCGTAATGTTATGCCAGATTTAAACTGCAAACGTGCAGTCAGTACAAGTGATCTCATGTTGCAACTTGCCAAAGAACATATTAGGGATGTTATGAAACAGCAAAATGGGAGCACTGAGGTAAACTCAAGGACATAGTTTATAAAGCAGTATATTAACATTTAAATGTACTCAGGTTATCTGACTGTGTTTGTATGAATTTTAGGTACCACTATGTGCTTTCAGTGTTCTTTTGATAGCCATTTTAATGAACACTGCCAGTAGGTTTCATAGACAAAAGTGACATAGATCTCGTTCATGAAGAATTTTATTGAATATTTTGTTTGCTTATGTATTAGTGGTACCTATTTTTGACACTGACATTTTTGTTAAAATATTTTAGATATGTCTGCAGTTAATAAGTAAAATATTCTTGAAGGGTTGTCATATTTGTTTGAAAATTGTGAATCATTTCTGTCAGATAAAAATGTTGATTTTAACAACTTTAGGGTCCACAAAGACAGTTGTATGAGGTAACATATATATTTCATTTTGAACTTGAAAACCAGAAATTGTTAATATATTCAGTAGACAGTAGTAAATGTTGACTGTTTCACTGCTTGGATGGGCGTAATGGAAATATTGTAGGGTTGATGCAGGCTGTGTAAACGGAGAACAGTGACATATTGCCCCTAAGATTTTGACTTGCAGCTTCTGGTTTATAAACCCAAAATCAATACTGTGTGTCTGCTTTACAAAATCTATGCCTTGTTCATAGGACAATTACTGATGCATATGGTCAACATACAGCAACCACTCTTGCATTTGACGTTGCTGTTACATTTGGTATTTAAACTTCCTTCTAAGAAACAAAATTAAGTTTTGCATTATTCGCCTTTATTTTATAGATTCTGTATAAAGACAAATCCTGAGGTTCAACAGTAATTATATTTGATCACCAGTTTTGAAATGTGCTTGAATAATTGTGCTGTATTTTGTTCCATACAGGGATTATAAATTTCAGTATTTCTCATGTTCATTTTCCTCCATGTCTTAATGAGTCATGTAATGGATTTCCCTGTCTTCTCAGATAAGGGATTTGGATAGGAGAATATTAGTGTTACATAAGCAAATACACATTTATGTAAGTTATTGTTATTTATTATTTGCTCTTTGAAGAGGTATGTGTAAGAAGATACATCCTGTATATTTGGTGTAGAAATGTGTAAAAATGGTTGATATTAATAAATGTGTATATTTTTTCATGTTCTCTTGTCAGTAGGTGAGGTTTAAAAACTTGTGAGAATGTGACTTATTTCTATTAAAGATAATAAAGTTGTGGAAGAAGTAATTTTAAATCATACAGAGTGTTATCCAGTAGCAAAACATTTTAGATAATTTATGTAAGCCTTGTATATTGCTGCCATTGGTTAATTAATTATTTTATATTAGTTTTATACAAATTCTGTTTTGTAAAGCAAGAATCAGGTACCTATGTGGAATTTACACTGCCATGTATATTTTATGACATGAAAGAATTTAATATATATTTATCTAATTGTGTTAATTTATAGAAAGGGACTTATTCAACACACTACCTTCCAAATATACATTTCCATTGATATAGGTTGGTATTGATATATATAGAACTTTTTCAGCAGTCGCTAATTACTCATATGTTACATTAAACCAAACATAAATCACTGCTATCCAAAATAAAATTAGCTATACCTTTACCCCCAACCAGTGTGTACAGTGGAAGTTGCGTCCTTCAGGATGATTACATATTCTCACTTCATGTCACACTTGCTGCAGAATGTGTCCTGCACACAAGTATATCCGCACTCCCACTTCTCCACTTTGACCATTTGTTCATGTAATGATCTTTTATCTCTTACATATAATACATTTTGTGTTTTTGTACCAAGATTACTATATTCAGAATGTGTTAGTGTGGGTTATTTCTTTCTTCCATAGCCATCCAAAAAACAAACATATTGAACTGTGCTTAATCTCAGCAGGAACTTCATTTTGTTATATTGTAGGAAAGAACTGAAACATGTTATTTCATGCCACAAGGCAATATGTTGTATGCATAAAGCATATGAGTGAAAGAAGCATAAAACATCTTCTCAGCTTTCATCCAAATTATTTATACTACTGATATATCAGATGGTGTTATTTGTGTTTTTGTTTGAGTGAGTGACATTCAGAGTACAGAGTAGCGGGCAGTGAATAGTGATCAGCCATAGCAAATGTTAGCTATTTTCCTTTGAAATTGCATGTTATATTATCTTAACTGTGTGTTTGCATGTGCGTGCTATTTCCATGAGCCATGCCATCAGTACCATTATGGGGGCTATTTAAATGTCTGACGTGAGAGTGACACTAACCAACCATTTAATGCAGGGTATTGGAATGTTCTATAATTACAGTTCTTGGACAGATATGTAATGTATATATAAGACAGTATCTTATTTGGTTGAGGCACTATGCTACAAGGTGGAAGGTCATGGGTGTGAGTCCCGATGAGGTGGATTTTTTTAAATTTACCTAATCCTTCCAGCTGCGCTATGGCCCTGGGGTCGACTCAGCCCATAACAGAAATGAGTACCAGAAATCTTCCTGGGGGGTAAAGGGCGGCCAGTGCGTAAGGCTGACAATCTTACTGCTATCTGTGAGTCGATTGTCTAGAAGATGTGGGAGCCTCAAGCTCTCACAACTCTATGGGCATCCACGGCCTGTTTAAAAGACCACTTCTATGTAGAATGTAAGATAATGAGACTACCTAAGTTAGCTGTCTGTCTGATAGCAGTAACTAAACTACTGTACTAATGTGCACATGTAGCTTGTGTTTTTTTTTATAGAATTGGAACTGCTCAAACATAGTATATTGCCCAAATTGCTTATATTATGAAATTTGTCAGTACATTGATGGGAAAGAGAGGGAATAGCATATCATCTTGTGTAAGAACAACAGTTTACTGATGTTAGTGCAGTGTTTGCTGATATGCTTCATTACTGATCACTGAAGTAGCTGAAATTAAGATTTCATGACTGGTTTCTATCTCAGGATTGTGGCTTCACAATTAAATCATGTTGAATCTTCAAGTTCTGTAGCCAGAGTATTGGTCACAGTTTGGATGTAATATTTTTTGTGTTTCGGTACTGATTTATTTTTTCCTCTGTTTAGTGCTCCTTTTTTTCTCATTTGTTTTTCATTTAATGATACTGTAAGTGGCTCATACTACTACTATACAGTGTTCAATAATTAAGTGATAAGGAATAATGAATTGGAAGGAATGTGGAAGAAAAAATCATCATATTGAAAGGTGATAGCCTTGAATTTGCCAAGGACTGAGAAAAACCATGATAAACTGCAGACAGTATAGTTGGTGTCTGACCAAGATTTGATCTTGGCATGTTTCTAATACAAGTCAAAAGCATTACTGCACGCCATTTTGCATATTAGCTTCCTTTCTTTTACCAGTCTACGTATTGTATGACTATATTCTTTACTACCATACATTTTTTCTCATTTCCCAGTTATAGTTTAATAAACTAGACTACTTTTTGCCAGACTCTGTACAGCCATTAGTACAGTTCTTCTATTAATATAGTCTCACTTTTATACACAGAACTAATACACATTTTACATAAATCATGAGACATATCATGAAATGGTACATATTTGATTATCCTTTCTTCCACATTGTAAGAAAAAAAGAAAAAAAAACACAAACACCCATGTGGTAAAGATAATCAGTTATCTTGTATATCTTATTATCTTGTAAGGGGAAAGTGTGACATTTCTCATGCATTATCAGCTTTTTCATTGTGTTGTTTCAAGAACTGATAACCATGACAAACATTAATCTGATGAAACTTCCTGTCATTACTTCAGTGTACAGGTGACTGATCCCCAGTAAACTGTTCTTTGGGGTTATCAGGCTTGTCTGCATCTGTCCAGAGTAATTTCTGTAGGAAAGGTACAAAGTAGTTTCCTGAAACATTTTAATTGCTTTTTGAGTGTGTATGCTTTGACTCAGTAAAAGTGATCTGGACCTATTATTGATATTAATTGAAAGGCAGTCTTTTGTTAGCTAGTATAATCAGAATGATGTGGGAAATTTTTTTAATTTGAAATTGTTATATTAACTTAAATACACGTCTTACAGCTTATTAGCTTAATCAGTATTGAAAGTCTAATAAAAGTTTGTCATGATGGAACATCAATACAAATATTAATGTTTCTGGACATTAACTATTGATCCGTTTCTATTTAAGGTACCATCATGATTTTATTTAAAACAATGATTTGGAGATTGGATTTTGTCTCCAAAACATTGTGTTTTAAATAAAAACGGTGATAGTTAATGTCCAGAAACATAATATTTATAGTATGGAAAGCTTTATTGAAAAAAATTCTATGTGGTAAATGATAGAAAATTGATGACCATTTTGCATGGGATATGTGCTAGTTTGAAAAGAAGAAAATGACAGTGTTATGATTTTATATTTTAAAAGAGTTCCATGATCTACATTCAGTGTATAAGATGTCTTCATAAAAAAGTCTACCACATTCTGCTCATTTTTATGGCACAGTACCATCTGTGAGCACTTTTCTGTTTCAGAGTGTGATATCAGGCATATTTCAGAGTTCTTAGTCCACTTTCAGGATGTTGTTTCAAAAAGATGGTAATGCATTAATTCTGAATTGGCATATGCTCACGTGGCAAGTAGGCATGAAAATAGAAAATAGTTATCTGTTTTCTATTTTCATGTCTTCTTGCTTACAGATATAATGCAACAGGACATAGCTCCTGTCATGGTGCTTTATATATTCTTCTGTCATTTTTACTGGGGAATCCAGGATATAGCAGTCAGTAAAGTGACTGGCTGAGTTTGGATGACCAGAGTTTGATTCCCAGTGATGACAGACTTTTTCCTACATATAGCAACTTCTTGTTGGGCCAACTATTGTCTGGTGGGCACTGGAGACTCTTTTTTTTTCTGGGGCTAAATTGGTTAAAAAAACTGTCTGCTCACCTTTATTTACTGCCAGGGTTGAGAGTGTACGGAACGTTATCTTCACTCTGTCCATATATGATGACTATACTGTATGATGCATAGGCAACTTTACCTTTATATTACTACTACTACTACTACTACTACTACTACTACTATTACTACTACTACTACTGTGACCACCACCACCATCCCTCCTGCTGCTTCTTCTGTTCTTCTGTTTCAGTAATTTTTGAGCTAACCACAGACTCTTTAAGTAATAACATCAGCTATTGAATGTGAAGTAATGGGCTCTAATGCAACACATATGATTGATGAGAACCAGCTGGAGGAATATGTCAAACTCTCATACCTGAAGAAGGCTGAAATACAACAGTAAGTTATAGATAGCATTATGATAGGTTTATGAATGTTATACTGCAGGAATATCCATAATAATGAACCTCTGGGTTCCATGAAATGTTTGGAAATTCTTGAGTGGCTGTGTGACTGGTGGCTTCTCAAGATGGACTCATCTCCATGAGTTCGTTATTATGATGGGTAGAATATGTCCTTTACTTACAAGTATTTCTTTTATTGTATTAACTCTTGGTGAGTAATATTTCTAGCAGCAGTTGATATTAACTAGCAATCTGTGTGCCTGCAGCCACCAGCAAGCCTTCAGGTGGTGCCTCCATTGGCTTTCCCTCATGTCCACTCTGTGTTAGCTGCAATAAATATGAGGGAAAGCCAATGGAGGCACCACTTGAAGGCTTGCTGGTGGCTACAGGCACACAGATTGCTAGTTAATATAAACTGCTGCTAGAAATATATATATGGGGGGTGGGGGTGGGTATGATTAGGTATGTATGTTATGTCATTCTCTTGCTGTTTCCATGGAAAGATATGGAAGTGATTCCACATTGAATTTCAGTAGGCCTTTCCCACTAGTATAAAACATAACTGATACCTACAATGGATTCTGGGCTGTTCTGAATATAATATAGACCCATTTACTCCTGTGCAAGAATAAAATGCAGGAGGCGAAACATTATGTAGACACACACAAATATACATCAAAGAGCTGTGATTAACATAATCTTGGAACACTGATGATTCAATCATTGTCATAAATCTTGAGAGAAAAAATTTAGAAAAGTAATTATTTGATTTTACCTCTAACAGTATCTGGAAGCATTTCTATGCTATGGACCCTGACCGAGTAAGTAGAAACTATTGGTGCTATCTTCCAGTTACATATCTTGAAGAGCTCCTGCCTCAGCTAAAGGTAATTTTCTAATTGTACAAAATCAGTGCAACATTCTGGGGGGAACTTGAAATTGTATAGATAGTTATAACTACTGAAGCGAATAAATGGTTTCTGTGCTGTAAATATTGATAAAATTAAAATGAAACCCATTCAGAACAATTCGCATATACACAAAAGGTAAAGCAATCCATATAATAGGCCATGGAATCCCATTGAGTTGTGGGATGTTGAGACTCCAATATTTCCTAGACAGTCAGCTCACAGATGGCGGTAAGGTTGTTAGCAACTGCACCAACTGCTCTTTACCTCCAGGAAGATTCCTGGTATTTGTTTTTGTTAGGGGCTGAGTCAACCTCAGGGCCATAGTATGGCTGGAAGGATTACGTCAACTGAAAATCCAGTGACCTCATTGGAAATCAAACCCACGACCTGGCTCATGTATGTACATAGGTGTGACAAAAAATACTCTGTAGATAGGGGACATTTGCACACACCTCTCTTTTTGGAAACACTGAAACTCCTCCCGTCCCTTTGAGATTGTTCTAGACTGCTTTGGCAGTCAGGACAATTTTGAAATTGTAACATGTATAAAACAATGGTTGCAAGGCCAGAAGAACACAGTACATAGTACAGTTTCAGTCTTTGTTGATTGTGGTTGGCTGGCATGGGCATGTATTGAAGCAGATGTCAAATAGTGCATGCAGTGAATCACAAGTTAGTTCATTGCAAAGCGGAAGAAAACAGTGCAACAGCCTACAATGAAACAGTAGTGTATAAGAAAGAACTGACATCAAGATCATAAGTGGTAAGATGATTGGTGAGGCAATTACTGTTCCCAGGTGTGATAAATGTTAACTGTGTGGTGTATGTGTCAGCCTCCTTGCAGTCTTGTTAATTGCTACAGAAAGACTCACAATGTTCTGAGCTTTCATAGGCATGTAAGCTGTTACAACAAACCTTATATGAAGCATTATGAGATCTATAAGTGGATATAATCACTGAATGCAGCTATATCTTGTGGGTTTTGTCTGCATTCCAAATTCAGATGATGTAACAATGCCTAATCTGAAAAGATCTTGTCCAGGACGTATATCTATCATCTATAAAATTGAAAGTCTAATGACATATCTCAATTCTTATACCTATATCATTTTTCTAAGTTCATGCACAGAGTGAACGTCATTAACATGCAGTTTCAGTTGTTTTTAGCCTGGTATATGACATTTGTGTGTTTGGAGGGTTCAATAATGATTTATATGGAGATGCAGAGTACTGTATTGAAACTGTTGTATGTTTCAAATTGGAGACATTGCCATTTAAAATATCTGTTAAGTTGTTGCCTTGTTCTGAAGTTCTTTACTTAGAACTGCATTCTTGAATGAGTTTGATATGCAGAAAAATGTAATCAGGGTCAGATTAAGAATTTATGAGGCTCTATCTTAGAGATGAGACCCCTATAATTTCTCTTTAAAAGAATATTATAGAAAGATCTTTGTTTGAATAATTTCATTGTCAGAAATGTTTGTATCAGAAGATAAGTAAGAAGAAACAACAGGATGCTGTTTCAAAGAAAGAACCTTTTTTAATAAAAATAATTTGTACTTAAATTATTAAGAAATGCGTATATGTGTGTAAGAATAAATGTATATTCATGTAGTAGAATTGTACAAACACATGAAAGGCATTATTTGCTTGAAATCAGACAGATGCACCAGAACTGAAAGCAAGAAACAGTTGCATCCAACTATTGCATCTGTTCCTGTATGTGTTGTTTTGTCACTCCAATCTGACAGCCATTTTTTTTTCAAGAGCGTGTTGTGTTTGTCTTGTGACTTTTTTCTTAGTAATTTTAAGCCCCATAGATTGTGAAACCCTAAGCCATAACCTATTCAGTTCACAAGTAAATCTGAAGAAAGATGTGGAGCAGTTAAGCACTGAACAAGTATACATGCAGAGTTCTCAAAAACCACTTCACTACATATTTAGAATGTCTAACATCCAATAGTGTTCATTACTGTAAAAACTGGCTGTGTCATGAATTTAATACCTTAAATTTGTGTGTTATATATAGGCTTTTAAATGAAGTCTGTGGATTCAATTCATGAAGAGGTCGTTGGATTTTTCAACTGACCTAATCCTTCCAGCCACACTATGGCCCTGGGGTCAACTCAGCCTCTAACAGAAATGAGGACCAGGAAGCTTTCTGGGGGAAAGCACACCTGGCATGTAAGGCTGACAACCTCACCGCCATCTGTGATCGAAATGTCTAGAAAATGTGGGAGCCATGATGTCTCAACCCTATGGCCCTGCACAGCCCCTTACCTTTTACTAGGCTGCTATTGCTTCTGACGAAGTAAGAGTAATCATAATACCGATTTTTTTAACTAGGTAAACCCCTTTGTAGATCGTTTATATGATGTCTTCTTTCCAAAACGGGATCAGAATGGGGAAATTTATTTCTCCTTTGAAGACATGTTGGATATCTGTTCTGCACTGTCACCTCAGTGCCCTGACAAAGTAAAAGCTATGTGGGCATTCAAGATCTTTGGTAAGTGATAGAGTTTCATGCTGTTTGATAGAAGGTGTCTGATTTTCTGTACCATAACATATGAGGGGTAGTCAAATGAAAACGGGTCAGAAGCCAAAACATATTAAAGAACATTTATTACCTCAAAAGTAATCTCCAAAACTGTTAATACATTTATCACACTGGGATATAAGACGGTTAATCCCATCCTTGAAAAAGCTTGTGGTCTGTCT